TATTAAAAAGTAGAAGGAACAGATAGCTTCATAAAATTAAAGTTTTAATTTTAGCCCAACTAAAATTCTGTTGGTAAATTTTAGCAGTCTTGGAATTATAAGCACAAAGCATTAGATGAAAGAAAGAGAAGCAAATGGTGTGATTGGGTGATCCTAATTAAAGGGACATAAGTACGTAAAGGTCTTACACTGCAAATATGAGAGATGAAGTCGAGAACAATTCCTTATCTTTTTGTGGACACTTGGTTCTTAAACATTTATATAACAGGGTCTATTTTCATGGAAAATAAGACAAGTTCAAAGAGACAGAAGAAAATGAATGTAAACTAAGGACAGAAGAAACATTTGAGAATTCAGGAAAATTCAGTATAGTTATAATTGAGCCAAAATATTTAGGACACTTAAATTTAGACTGCAAGTCAATCCAGATGTTTATTTATTAATGTTAATAATGTTTCCAGTGTTGTTATAGAATACTAAATCCCAGGGGTTCCACTTCTAAGTTTAAAGACAAATGCATGGTTTTTATTCTTTTCCAGCTCTGTTTTAATTTTAGGGTTTTTCTATAGCCACTATTTTCCTGTAAATGTGTTTGCAACATCTTGAGCAGCTCCTAATGCCTTGCAAAAAGTCTGAGTGAAACATTGGTCTAGCAAAGCTTCCCTCTGCATTTCTCCCCTTGCTTCCATGGCAATAAAGAAAGAAACTTGGCATAGGGATATAATCTGTTCCTGCCTGTTTCTCATCTGAAGTCATAAACTTCTGCCATCCCACCCAAGACTAGAATTTCAGCTGGCATGAAACAGCTGTCTGCTTACAGGTTTATTCCGGTAGTAACCAAAGACAAAACTATTTTAATTGAAGGCCCTAGGCTGTTCTCCAAACCCTCACAATCTCTAGGTCATCCCCAAGAAGAAACCATTGAGGAAAAGGTACCAGTTGCATGGTTTCTGATGGTTTTTGACAAACTGTGTATTTATGAAGCTAGGAACATTTTACCCTTCTAATTTCTGGGTTGGATGCCATGGAGAACAGGAGGGTGAGGTACACAAGCTATGTCAGCACAGAGCAGGCCGGCGGGGGGAGTGCTCACCCCCAGGGGTGTCCGCTACTCTGCCTCACTTATTGTTACCATATGGAAATGTGGAGCCCAGTATTGCCAGATATTTTGATTTGTGAATAGAAATGCTCCACCCTGCTTTTTTTTTTTTTTTTGGTCAATTAAAAGTTGCCATCTACATGGTTTTGAATGGTGGTGATCTGAATTAAAATTAAAACTTGGCTTAGATATTAGAGTTCTTCCTTCTCAACTCCTAGGCTTTGCTCCTAATTCATTATGGCAGGCTTTACATTTTCAGCTGCTTAGGTTCTATAACTGTCGGGGGGCATGCCACAGTTTGGTTAAATATTCACAAAGGCCCGTATCCTTTTGGGAAGAGGGGAACTTTTGAAGGGTGGAGTCTAGATCAAAAAAGGAGGCCTTTAGGTCATTGGGGTTGTGCCCTAGGGGGGTCTGTGGGACCCCAATCCTTTCCTCACTCTTACTCCCTGGGCATGATGTGCTTCCTCAGCATAGGCCCAAAACAGCAGAGCCAGCTGGATATTAAGAGCTAAAGTAAAACTTTTCTCTTAATAAGTTGATTATATCTGGCATTTGTTATAGTGATGGAAGGCTGATGAATGAATAATTTATTTATATACTTCATTTTTTATTGTGGGTAGTACTGCCTAAAAGTATACAAGTATTGGTGTTGGAGAAAATGTATATTTTATGTCTTAGATTTTACCAAATCTTTTTTTTTATGTTAAAGAAAAAGAAACAAAAAACACAATAAACACACAAACATAAGAATAAAATTCCAGAACAATATGGTAAGAGGGTAATAATGGTCAATACAGTGCCACATTGTGCATTGTTATCTTGGAGTTAGTTATTCAGAGTATGAGATATCAACATTTAATTGTCCAGACAATATTAGCACAAACCTATCTTTTCAGAGGACTGAAAGAAATTAGAAGCATATTATTTGTTATCTATACATATATATGTATATATATATATTTTTTTTTCCTTTCACTTTTTCCTTCCTTCTTTTCTTCCATTCCCCTAAATTAGTTTCTCTTTCCTTTCGAAGTTTCAGGCTGGGGTTAGAGCTCAGTGGCACAAGTGCCTGTCTGGCAAGTGCAAGGTCCTGAGTTTGATTCCCAACACCAAAAAAAAAAAAAAAAAAAAAAAAAAAAAAAAAAAGAAAAAGAAAGCCATCCTTTTGAAGTTTCTTCCCATTTTACAATATCCATCATACATTTTAGATTTTATCAAATTGTTACTTGCAGCGGCTTGAACTCTTAAAGCCTCTCTTATGACATGGGAAATGAAAATGTATTCGACATAGTATTTGGAGGATTAAATAAGATCCTATGTGTAAAAAGCTTAGCTTGGTCCATAGGTGTTCTTTGCATGCATGTTACCATTTTGATCATTACTGTTTTGAGCATTATTACAAATGATCCATTTTTAAGGATGCAAGGTTCCTCAGCATGAGTTTGTCTCAGAATAAGAAGGGAATCTCTGTAGGTCTAACATGCTATGTGATACAAAGAAATTCTGTAAGGAACCATGTCTATGGCCTTAAAGAATTTTAGAGTTTTGGAATTAAAGGAGAACATGAAGAAACAGAAACTCTGTCATCTAGAAATTACAGAAACATCCATTTTATCTCAGAAATTTAAGTTGGAGCAATCACAAAATGAATGCTTTCATTAAAATGCAGTGTGAGACGTTATGAACATGACTTGTTATGAAAACAAAACCAAAGTGCATGTCTGAAATCATGTTGTGAAGTGAAAGAATGTAGGCAAAAGTTGTTCCTATCAATTTCTGTGGGAATATTTACTTTGGAAGTGAATGTTGAAATGACATTCAGAACATTTCCTTCTTTTGTGTCCAGGCAGATCTGTGGTTAGGGACGTCTTTCCTCCTAGCTGTGGATCCATGATCTGTGGAAGACCGTGGCAAGAGGTCATTTGGCCAGTCAGGGTGCACCGAATGGAATTGGAGAAGATGCCTTCTGCTAATTTTTTCTCCTTGATTTCTGTTCAAAATTTGTTGCAAGTTAAGCATTAATATTCAAAAGAGGAGGCTTCCTTCCTTTTCCTGGAACAGCTGCAAGTAATAATAGAAAAAAAAGGCGGTCTAACAAATAGATCAGTGGTAAAAATGAAACAGGGTAGTCATGCAGTATGGTTCAACGTATCTAGTTTCTTTCACAGGACAGGTCTGTTAGCTTGCTTGGAACGCTGATAGTATGATATTGAGTGTTGTGGTTATGTGATGGGTCATTTGAAGTGTTCTACTATAAACCATTGATACATTTACTGACAAAAGGTTTTTCTTTCTTTTTCAGCACTGAGGATTGAATCCAGAGCCTGGCACATCCTAAACAAATGCTTCACTACGGAGCTATATCCTCAGCCCTTTTTGCTAAGTTACTCAGGTTGGCCTCAAACTTGAGATCCTCTTGCCTCATCTTAGCCTCCTGAGTAGCTGGGGTTATAGGTGTGTGCCACCACACCTGGGAACAAAACTCTTATTTTAAAACTTATGATGCTGTTCACATATGACGGTCATGAATTCTCACTGACATGAGACTAATAACAATATTATCATCTACCATGAAGTAGAAACTATACGAGGCACTTAGGGGACATCGTTTATAAGCCTCAGTCCTCTTTACGTAGGTCTTTATGGTCATTTTACAGAGGGTTAAATTGAATCTCAAGTATCAGTAGCTTCTGCTGGGGAACATAGGTATTTAGATGAAGCTAGAATCAGGCCACATTCATTGCTCTAGGTCTTTCTAGTCCATACTTTCTCAAGGGTCTTAGGGAGTTCCTTGAACAGCTTGTGGAGAGACTAAGTTGCTCAGAAATCCTCAACAGCCAAGTCTTCAGCAATCCAGCGGCCAAGCCAAGAGTAGAATAAGGACAGTTAGCATACATCAGAAGTGGGGCTGGGGATTTAGCTCAGCGGCAAAGCGCCTGCCTGGCAAGCACAAGGTTGTGAGTTCGGTTCCTGGTACCGGAGAAAAGACAAAAACAAACAAACAAACAAACAAAAAAACATATATCAGAAGCAGAATTTTTCAAGATCCCTGCCATTTCTTACCAGAGAAAGAACTATATTCTCCTTGTGCTTACTCAATATGCAATATTAAAGGGTAATAGAAAAGAACTGAACAAAAATTGGAATGGTAAAGAATATGATAATGAGAGATTGGGACCACCAAAGATATAGAAAAGCCAACCCTATCCTCCTTTTCTTTAACTCAAGCACTTAAGGGTATAAGTGGTTAGTATATTTGATTGGAGAAAATGTCACTAATTAACAGTGTTTGACATTCAGTAGACAAGCAGTGGTTATTCAATAAGTAGTGCAGGAACACTTTAGATCTTTGGTAATCTTCAGTGCTTGCATTTCCTCTGGATGCCCCAGCTATCTTTTTATAGTCCTGTCTCAGAAAGTCCTACCTTATAAATATTATTAGGTGATGAGTAAGTTAAAAGGCCATCCTGGGTGGAGAGGAAATTCTCACACTTCCCTGGAGATAAGTTATCACGCAGTAGTGACATGCAAACAGTGTTATGAGCCCTCTTCTTTTTCTTTGTAGAAGAATGTTGGGCTGTATACTTGCAATTACTCATGTTGTTATTTTTGAACATCAGGACAGCATTCTGCAGGCATCGGAGAAGCATATAGATGCAGTTTTATAAAGGAATACAACATGAAGACAAAGCAAAGTCACAGGAGGCTAATCTTACTACTTCCACTAGCATACAGAGATGAAGCTCTGGGCATTTTTTCTACACTATGTCTATGGATGTCATTATCTCAAGAATTAATTAGGGACTAGGGATGTAGCTCAGTGGTAGAACACCTGTCAGCATACATAAGGCCCTGGGTTTGACTCCCAACACAGCAAAATCCAAACCAAACACAAAAACCAGAAACAATAGCAGCAACAACAACAACAAAAACAGTGGCAAATTATTTAGGTCAGCATCTGAAGTTCCTCTAGAGCTCCTGCATCAGAAATGCCTGAGAAGAGAGAGAGGCAAGACTTTTTCTTTTTATAAATGTGCTACAGTGATTTTGATGTCCAGGTGAGTTTAACTAGCTGAATTAGACATTTTAGGTACTCACTTCTTCTATTATCTCTTCAGAATGATTAGACATTAGACATTATTACACCATATTCCAGTTAGATACTCAGATCACAAAAATGCGTACAGCCAATGGATCGGAAAAGAAGAAAAAGTATATCCAAATATACTTCCCTCCAAAACCTGTGATTTATGAACTAGGTGTGATAAAATGGAAATGAAATTTGTAAAGTGCCCAGGTTAAAAAAATTAGTACAGCCAGAACCCTGATCAGAATTCGGGAGTGAGAATGGGTTAAAATATCTCTATACTGTAGTGTAGTAGCTGGTTTGATAGTGGTAACATTTCATCCAGGAGATAGGGGATGCTGGCAGCAGAATTGCAAAAAACTTGACAATTTGGGCCTGGGGATTTAGCTCAGTGGCACAGTGCCTACCTGGCAAGTGCAAGGTCATGAGTTCGATTCCCAGTACCAGAAAAAGAACAACAACAACCACAAAGCTCTAAAAGCTTGACAATTTTAGAGAAAATATAGCACAGTGGTGTGGGAACAGTATAAGTGGAAGGAAATTAAATATACCAGGACACTAAGAAGAACAAAGAAGGTCACAAGGAAGTGAGAATGAACCAATCAATGTGAGATGCTCCTAACTTGCTGAAGATGTATGATCACAGGATAATTATGACTGAAACTGAGCCAGTGGCCTTGAGGTCAAGGCAGAAAAGGTAGTGGAGCAAGAACTTAACTTAAAGCAGGAGGTGAAGATGAAAGAAACCAGCAAGGACAGTGACCCCCAAGGGTTAGAGCTGGGAGAGTTACCTGTGACAAGAAATGGGGTAGGACAAAGAGGATTTTAGAGAGACAATACCTAACCTTCCATAAGCCAAGTAGCATGGAACTATGTATTTATAATGGAATTTGAATACTGCTCATGTCCTAAAAGTCTTTTTTATTGTCACAAAAATTATTTTACACTTGAGAGAACAGTGCATGCTTGATCCCAGCAGACACACTGAGTTTGACCTGTGCCAGAATAAAATAAAAGAAAAGGTCAAGGGTATGGTCTTTTGGAGGAAAACCTTTCACCTTAAAAATTGTGTCCTTGGGTGGCTGATGGAACTTCTGAAAGAGAACCAGCATTTGGAAATCTAAGCATGAGAACAGACCATCACAGATGGTGACCTCTAGGTCAGGCAAGAGTTCAGAGAACATAATCTTGAGAAGATGGCGGGACATGTTGGAGGAATTTTGAGAGGAAGAAGCTTGAAAGAACTCAAGCGACATTCCATAGTGGGTACTAATGCACCCCAAGAACACATGTGGAATATAAAAGAGGACAGGAAGGAGAGCCTGGGGGAAATGGAATTTGGAAAGGACTTAAAGAAAGGAAAGCAGAATATACAGCTTAATTTCCAGAAACAAAGGAAAAATTTAGTCACAGACTTGTTGGAAGAACAACCCAGGGAGCTGCAGGCTGAGGTGGAAGTGAGGTGTTGAGATGCTTTTTGACCTGAAAAGATTTCAGTGACTGGGAATTGGATGGGTGAGAATCCCTTACCCTGGAGTCTCAGAGTGAAACAGCAACACAGACCCAGGAAGAGGGAGATGAGACTAGGTCCATGAGAAAGAGAAAAGAGAAGACTTCTCTTGGGATACAAAATAAAAGCAGCCCAAGAAAGCCTCTTGTGGAGCTTGTTAAATACTCAGTAGGAACTATTCTGTGACTCTAGTTTTTTCAAAATTGGAATGTGAGGTACATGGGTGGCTATCTGCGGGTCTTGGCTATGGCTGGGATGGAGGAGAAGGGGCTAATACCTGCAAGGACTGGAAAGTTGTGAGCAGCCTTAACTCAAGAGATGAAGCCCCAGGGAGGGGTGATTTCCCCTTACTGACCTGAGTGGGCAGTGTAAGTGGAATTAGTTCCAGGGCAAGGGAGAGCAGTGATAGAGAAGTCTTTTCTGTGGAGCTATGGTCTGTACAAGAATATTATAAATGATGTGGTCAAAGAGAATAAGAAATTGCACAAGCATTAAAGAAAGAGAAGGTATAAGCAGCATGTATTTAGTTCCATGTGAGAACATAACATAATATGTTTAAAAATTATTAAAAAATGCATGGAAGTAATATTTAGATATTGTTGGGGCTTTCCAGTGGGAGGAGAAATTTACATGGAAAATACCCTCCTTACAAAATGAAAAAAATGGGGCTGGGGATTTAGCTCAGCGGCACAGCGCATGCCTAGCAAGTGCAAGGTCATGAATTCGATTCCCGGTACCAGAAAAAAAACCAAACCAAACAACAACAACAACAAAACCAAACCAAAAAGAAAAAAATGTTTAGAACTGTTCAGCATTAGAGGTATGCACAGTCTATCAAATATGGTACATCCTGAGAAAGATTCTGTGGCAATTTGAATCAAGAAGAGAGTGCTCAGAATGCATTTATTGAACTACTTATAAAATAAGTTCATGTTGAGCAATGAAACACATTTATGAATACATATATTTCCCTCAGGAAGTCTTTCTCCAAGGAGTGTTAGTTTCTGTGGACTCCTGTATGACCAGGTATCATATCCCTGATCACTTTATGCCATGTAAGCTACCTGAAAGTGGAAACTAATTATTATGCGTCGTGATAGCTCTAGCACTTGTGGAGGACCACCTAGTTGACTCTCCTTAAAAGAGGAACAGTTGCCTCCGTTTTGCTGAGCCTGACCCTATTTCCATGTACTGATGTGTACTGAGCTGACTAGGACTTTTCCTTATCCCTTCAGTTGGCTGTAAGCAATGCATATTGGTCTAGGTGAGATGCTGGCGGTAATCTTTGGAGATGGTAGGCGTGTTTCTCCGACCCCCTGCTCATGGCACTCACATATTTCCTGCCACTCTCACAGCCACTTGTCCTCAAGCCATTCCCTTCTAAACAAATGAATAAAATCTAGGTTCGGTCCTGGGTATAAGCCTTTGTTCTGGAGAGCCACCAGCATGGCTGGACTTAACCCCTTGGCTCCCCATAACTACAAATATGCTTTAGTGTCTCTATTCTTGCTGTGGGTTGCACTGGAAGTGGTAGATTGGAATTAATTCACTAGAATCCAATAACTTTTCATTACAAACACAAACTTCCTGGACCATGAGAGGACTGGTAAGGGCTCTCTATAGCACTGATTGCAGTGCCCTGACATACATTACAATTCAAACTTGGTTACATACATGAGTGGCATTATTTAGAATGGTACTAGCTTAACTTAAATGTTAAATGAACATAATACATGGGAAAGTAAAAGAGATTACTTATTTATTAATACTTGAGTAGTGTCTGGAAAGTCCATTAAGAAAATATAATAAGACAGCAACAGAAGGACAATTCGGATGGTGTTATTGTAATTCAAACACATATTTAGATCGGAGAGTTGATTACAATGATTCTGAGCAAAGAATTCCTTTCTTAGAAATAAAAAGCTGAAGAACTGAGAATACAGACACATTTCCTCAGGAAAATTTGACAGGAAGATGTCTTTCAGAATCATGCAGACTCTCAGATTAAACATGGATTATTTCTTGAAAAAAATTTCCCAGAGGAAATCCAGCATCTATCTCCCCCTACTGGTGTCATATTAAGAGTTATAGCTGACCTTCTTTCTTTCCTGCTTTAACTGAAAAATGTTCTCAGCAAGAAGAAGATTTTAAATAATTACTTGAAAAAATTATGTAGAGTTAAGCAGCCTATAGCGGATATTTGTGTTACAGTAAAATCTACCAAGATTTGGGGTATAAATTATTTCATCATGGATGAGAAATGGTTAAATACTGCTAGTTCATCTGCCAAAATAAGACTTGTATGGCAGTGGGTCATGATTGGTGGATCCAACAAAAGTTTTTATAAATTTTTATTACAGAAAATTTCAAACGTATCCAAACAGAATAATATAATGAACTTGCATGTGTCCATTAGCCGACTTCAACAAACTTGTCACAGCTAACAAGTCCTGTTTCATCTATTACTTCTGCAGGGTTCTACATTCAGATCATGGTGAAGCAAAGTCCAAGCTTTGTATCATTTCATCTGCAAGTATTTCAGTATGTGCCTGAAAGGCTGGGATGCTTAAAATACCCTCATAGCCTTGTTATGCTTGACCCAATGTAACAGTGGTTTCTTAATAACAGCAATTATCTAATCGACATTGAATTTTCCACAATTGTTTTAAAATGTGTAATTATTTATTTTACAGTTCGTTTAAAGCACACTTTTAGTAAGGACTATGGGCTGTAATGGACTGTTTCTTAAATGTAGGGAATTTACAAGGTCTTTGCTGTATCACTTTTTTCTTGCAATATTCTTGTTGATAAAATTGCGTTGTTACTATTCTGAAAAGAGTTTTGTATAGCGCTCCATGATCTAGAATTTGCTCACTGGATTCCCATGGTGTTGTGAAACACATTCCTCTGTCCCCTGTATTTCCTGTATATTGGTAGTTAGATCCAGAGACTTAATTTTATTCAGTTTTTTTTCTTTTGGCAAGGAGCTGTTGTGTACTTTCACCACTCAGTATTTGGCAGGAATCGAAGTCCGTTGTCTAGAGCAGACTCTTCAGAGCAGCGCTAACAGGAATTTCCATGGTGATGGAAATGTTCTGTATCTCTATATCTACTATGGGAGCCAGCGGCTACAGGTGGCTGCCAGGCATCTGAAATGTGGCCAGCGTGACCAAGAAACTGACTTCTTAATAAAAAAATATTTATACATAAGTAGTTATGTGTGGCTAGTGGCTATCTCATTGGGGATTTCAGCTCTAGACCCATTAATTTATGAAAAGTTGAAAAACGACAAGGCTATTATTCTATTATTTGCAAGTTGGAGTACTTTTCCTTTCTTCTGCCGTTCCTCCCTCCCTCTGTTTCACCCTCCCTCCCTCCTTTCCTACCTCTTTCCCTTCCTCCCTCTCTTCCTTCCTTCCTTCCTTCCTTCCTTCGCTTTGTTTTTAGGGGATTGGGTGAAAGGGTACTCTACCACCAAGCTATACCCCCAGCCTTTTCTGTTTTTTACTTTGAAACAAGGTGTCACTAACTTGCCCAGGCTAAATTATAATCCTCCTGTCTCAGCCTCACAAATAGTAGAGTTTTTTTTTTTTAAAGAGAAACTTCTTTTTATCGATTATCGTGAGGTTCAGTTCATACAAGAAAGGCAGAAACAGGATCAGTGGCACACACCTGCAATCCCAGCTTCTCAGAAGAATGAAGCAGGAGGATCACAAATTCTAGGCCAGCCTGGGCAATTTAGTGAGATCTAGCTGCAAAATGAAGTTCAGAAAGAGCTAGAGATGTTGCTCAGCGCTTTCTCCCTGAGGCCAATTTCTAGTACCAAGGAGAAAAAAGACAGAAAAATTGCTTAATTATTTCTCGGTACTTACCAGTTGTCAAAATAACGAGTTGGTTTTGTTGCATTCACCAAAGGTGACCCCAGAGGATTTGTTATTTTTATGAAGTCATGATTTATTTCACTCTAGCTATCCTTTTTGGCACTCAAAATGATCCATCCTTGGCTAAAAAGGGTCTATTCAATATGTTCTGAGTCCAGGATATGATTCTAAGAGTCTTAGACTGTCCTTATTTCTGATAAGGTGTTTCAGAATTGTCTTGTATTATTTCTTTCCTCATATCTGGACTAGCCATTTTCCAAGAAGTCCTGCTTTTGTTTAATAGTATCTTAAGAACATAAAATCTGAGCACATGGAGTGATCATTTCTTTTGGTTCCGTCATTGTTTATAGCTTTTAAAAGATAGATTTGGAAAACAGATTAAAAAAAAAGATTAGCTATGTTATGCATTCATCCTAGTACCTGCAATTGAAAACCAAGGTGACAAAGTTGCCTTTGATTTTAAGGTTTTTCTTTTGCTCAGGGATACCAGTATATGTGAAACACATTATTTTTTTTAAAGATAGGGTCTTGCTATGTTGTCTAGGATGGTCCCAAACTTCTGGGTTTAAGTGATCCTCCTGAGTAGCTGGAAATGTAGGAATGTACCACTGCACCAGGTCAAAGCACACCAAGACAGGCAGCTATTTCCTTTGTTCCATAGTGCGTGCTCACACACACACAGACACACACACAGACACACACTTTGGAATAACAGTACTAACAGTGTCAGGAAGAAATGATGATTGAAAAAGCACCCAGTTTTTGTTTTGATTTTGTATCTTTTTTTAACCTTAACAGTCACCTGACTGATGATATACCACTGCGTTTTAGATTTATTTGAAATAAATTTTGCCTGTGTACTTTTGTCACAAACTGAGGACACATTTATATTTGTTTCATTTTATTTTTAGCAATTTCTTTTTCTAAATGTAGTTTCATTTTATAATTAAGTAAACTGTGTATGTGATTCCAGGGCCAAATCTACTAAACAAATTTTATTTAAGGAAGCCTCATGCAAGGCATGGTGGTGACTGCCTGTAATTCCATCACTTGGGAGGCTGAGGCAGGAGGAGCACTATAAGTCTGAGGCCAGCTTGGGTAGGCCACATAGCAAATTTGAGGCCATTTTAGAACATAGCAAAACCCTATCTTGAAAAACAAAAGCAAAAACAAAAAAACCTAAGAAGTCTCTGGGTCCTTACCCTCTCTCCTAAATTCTATTTCCTCCTTGCCTCATAAGTAATTATTTTCCAAAAATTTATTATCTACCTAACTATCATCTACCTATATCTATTTATCTGTTTATCTATCTATCTATCATCTATCTTTATTTGTTGGAAGTTCTTTAAAATTGTAATTATAGCAGCAGCATCAACACATGCATTACTTTTCCCCCTAATCTTGGATTATTTACTAGGGTCATGTATACATTAGAAAACAAGAATAAGTTACATTAATGACATCAAAGAGTGAGGAATTAAAGTAAATTTATTGAAAGATGTAATAGAGCTTGGCATCCTAGAACTCAAAACAATTTTCATTAATTATTTCATTGATGGGCTAATGACTATCTTTCTTTACACATTTTGAGACAGAGCTTGGAAAAGCCCTAAAGTAAGGATTTTGAATGGGAAAGCTCTGTTCTTCTGCTTCCTGGGCACCAGTGGGTAAAGAGCTTTCCTCCACCCTGGCTTTCTGCCATGCTGTTTCTTGGAGCCAACTTGCCATGGACTGAATACCCTCCAAACCGTGACCCAAATTAAACTTCTCCTTTCAGTTGTGAGTGTCAAATATTTTGTCCCAGTGCTGGGAAAGTGATTAACACAACCTTCTTGACTGAAGGTTGAAGAAGTCAACTGTTTTGCACAAAGTGACACAAATAAAAGTGGAAGAAACAGCTGTCAGTGGAAGTGATAATAGATAAGTTTCCCTAGATTTCTCTACTCCAATCTTTAGGAGGACAGTGCCTTTAGTATCTAATTTCTCTGGAGCATTTGCTAAACTAGAAGGAGTAGAATACAAATAGTTGTTGAATTCTGTCTCCTTGAAAATATCACCAAAGCAACATGTTGGTAACAGTGCTAGATCTACTCCTGCTTTTGTAAGGGAAAGGACTACCATGCCAGTGCCTCAGGAGTGCTTCAGAAAAAGCACAGCAAAATTGAGATTTGGGGTCTAGTTTGAAGTGACTTTTTCAATGTGGAGATACCATGGTTGGGTAAGGTAGATAAAAACAACAAGACAAGAGCTGAGTGAGGAAATTCAGAGTCTTGGAAAGCAAACTATTATTTCATATTGTGTAGGGAAGAGTTGAACAATGTGATGTTGACTTAATAGGATTCTTCAAAAGAATCATTTCTTTTGCAACCTCCTGGGCTATAGTTGACTCTTTCAAAGGACCAATTCTTCAATTCACTGATGCTTTGTATTTTTTTAAAGTCTCAGTTTCATTAATTTCTGTTCTGATCTTTATAATTTTCTTCCTTGTAGTAGCTTTGGGTTCGGATTGCTTTTATTTTCCTAGGATCTTGCGGTGCACTATTAGGTTACTTATTTGAGTTTGCTTTGTTTTTGAGGTGGGAATTTACTGCTATAGACTGCCCTCTCAGGATTCACTGTGTCCCACAGGCTCCAGAATGTTGTACTGGCATTATCATTTTATTATAGGAACTGTCTGAATTCTTCCTTAATTTCATCTTGACTCATTGATTATTCAAGAGGATATTGAGTAATTTTCATGTGTTTGCACAGTTTCTGTGGTTTCTTTGGTCATTTATTTCTGTTTCATTGCACTATGGCCTGATAATATGTGTGGGATAATTTAGATTCTTTTGATTTACTTAAGCATGCTTTATGGGCTAGAATGTGGTCTATTTTGGAGAAAGTCCCATGTGCTGCGGGGAATAATGTATATATTGTTATCTTTGGATAAAATAGTCTGTAGATATATATTAAGGCCATTGGTTCAAAGGTTTGGTTCAAGTCTGATATTTCTTTGTTGATTTTTTTTTTGTCTAGTTCACCTATTTGTGACAGTGCGGTATTGAAGTTCCCTATTATAATTGTATTAATGTTTATCTGATGTTTCATGTCTGTTGGATGAAGTTGGATGTGCTGGTATTTGGTGCATGTATATCTATAATTGTTAACTCTTCTTGCTGAATTGTTTCCCTAACCAGTATGTAGTTACTTTCTGTGTCCCTTTTGGTCAGTCTTGGCTTGAAATCCACTTTGTCTGAAATTTGTATAGCTATTTCTACTTTCTTCTGGGTTTCTGTTGCATGGAATATTGTTTTCCATCCCTTGATTTTTGACACATTCCTGCTGGCTTGAACCACTGGTAGCGCACATATGATTGTCCACCAGCTTGTATCTCTGGTGGTACAAATGGATCTAACCACTTTTACTGGTTGTTTCACTAATAAAATTAATAAAATGTCTATTCATAGACCAAATCTAATTAGTTGCTTCTTGAATTTGAATAATTATAGCCCAATATAAATAGTATTCATACCAATTAGAGAGATCATTACAAAAATCAATAAATTTATTAAAAGAAATTTATTTATATTTGTGAATTTCTTTGAAACATTTTGTACATAAAGATGGCTGATTTGTGCAGTGTGTGCAAAAACATCATATAATGTATCAGGCTTTGTTTTGCAGCCACAGGAGCACTCATTTTTTTCACACAGTCATACACATACCATTGGTGGTTCCAGCCAGTAGGATGATTGAATTCAAATCAGGGTCACCAGCAAGGACACACAAATCATGGTTCCATTGTGAATGTGTTAAACTGTGAGTTTATTTTTTTTAATTAAATGTGTTTTTTGTATACTGCTTATCATTCGGTTTTGTTTTTTGATCCATTTTGTTGATCTGTGTCTGTTGATTGGGGGAATTGAGGCTACTCGCATTGAGAGTCATTTCTGAGAAGTTTTGACTTCTTCCTGTCCTTGCATTCTTTTCCTGTTGCTCATTTCCTTATTTTTTCCCTTTTGCTTAGCTGTTCATGTCACCGGGTGTATTCATTCTTTTTGATTTATTGGCATTGTTGGCTTTGCTAGGATATCCTTGAGAATATTTTGTAATGCTGATTTATTTGTGAATTTCTGGTGGTGTGCCTTGTAAGGAAAATATCTTATTTCTTTGTCAATTTTGAAGGAAATGTTTTCAGGAGACATGTCAGGATTGGAAAATGTTGTCTTTTAAGGTTTGAAATACTTCACTCTAAGCCCTCCTGGCCTTTGATGTTTCTGTAGAGAAGTCTGCTTTAACTCTAAAGGATTTACATACAATTTGTTAACTTTGTCTAGTGGGTTTGAAGATTTTTG